AAAAAGGGGAGGGGATCCTCACAACTCTCTGAGAAAGATGCTATTATGTCCATTTAATGGATATGGAAACTGAGGCTCCTAGACATTGAGGGAGTTTGTTTGAGGATATAGACAATTGGTTAGTGGCAGAATAGGATCCTCTCCCTTCATGGTATACTCTTTGGCCACCATTCCTGGTGGGTGGGGAGGCATGGGCACCAAGGAATCCTGGCCCCTGGGTCCACGATCATTCTTGGCTTGGACTTCCCTTGTCAAACCTCCCTGTACCCAGGCACTGCTCCAGGATAAGCCCTCTGCAGATCATAAATGACTCTAAATGAGCATCCGGCTGATATCTGCCATCCCACACTGGTTAGCCTCGCAAGGTGGCCTTTGAGGAAGCTCAGGGCTTCCTCTTTGGCACCCAGCCGACCATTCTGACAGACCAGCTTTCAGTGTCATTTCTGGAGAAGTTGAGAGCTCAGGATTTGGAAAATGACTGGCTAATTCCACTCCTTACTTTCTGTATGAACTTGGGCCAATTCCTTAAACTCTCAGTGAACTGGAATGAAGATAAGGAATAAAGATGGGCTGTTGTGAAGAGTAAATAGGATAACACACAGAAAACAGCTGACATCATGCCTAGCACATAATGAGTGCTCAATAAACGTTGCCATTATTATTATTTATTATTACCATTATCATTATTCTAATTCCTGATGACAGCCTCTCCTTAAACTAGGTTAACTGGAAGGCAGAAACCACCAGATGTTGAACACATGTCTTCTGGAAGAATCAGCGCTGCAATTTTTCCCCGGGAAATCTCCCCCGTCTGATGTCAGTCCCTCTCTACCTTGAATGGACCTTCCTCTGCCCCTGCACCAAGCGATAGACCTGAGACCCAGCCTGGACACAGGATTGGTGGAAGACTGGGCATGTGACCCGGTGAGAGCCAATCAGAGGAAGGACTGAGATTTTTTTTTTTTCTTTGAAGAGAGACCCACTTTCCCCTTGGGAGGAAAAGGATGCCTAAAGCTTCTGAGCCCCAAAGCAGAACCAAGACCTGGCCAGGAGGACATTAACTGAAATCTTTGAACTCATGAATCTTATTGTGAGTCAGTGAGGAATAATGATTATTACTATGATTTTTTTTTTTTTTGCTTGCATCTATTTGAGTTTTCAGTCACTGACAACCAAATGTTCTGACTGAACATGTCAATAAGGTGCACTTTCTCTTTTCCTCTCTCTTTATAGATAGACTTAGGAATATAAAATATATGTATCCTGTCTATCTTTAATTAAAATGACAGCGCATGTTGGAGACTCACTTCTAATTATTACTTTTGTTTTACAAACTTAGGTCAAGAGAAAATGTCGAGTAAGACTTTAAGATTCACAACACCTAGGTACAAATTAAGGGCCTTTACTCATTCAACCTCCACTGCCGTGGAGTCTCAGACTCAGAGTCATGGCTTGGTTTTAACCAGGGTTTTCTTTTCTGCTTTCAGGAAAACATTTAATTTCCACCCTGGGCGTAGTCTGTGCCTAGCTTCCTTGTGGTGCACTGTTTCTGTCTGCCCTTTGTCTGTCTGTCGCTGGTGTCAGAGCTGGTAACTATCTGTTTACAGTTGCAAACAGAGGCATCAATTGCCTTTTGAACCTCCTATTTTCCTGTAAGTGCTCCCTGCTCAATTACATTTGCTGTCTCACTTGCATTTCTTTCTGCATAAAGAAGAGTGTCTGTTTTTCCCCCCTAAAATCTGATCACCTGCAAATCCCCACGTATTCTCTCGTGTATTCTTTTATAGAGGCAGCAGGAGCGACAATCATACAGGCAGCACCTATTTGCATAGGCTAGAGTTTACAAGACAAGTTGCCATAACCCGGAAGTTACTAGACCAAACAACAAGGTAGCTGTTGGGTGGTAGGAAGAACACTGAAATTGGAGTCAGATCCATGTTTGAAGTCTGGTTTTTACTGGGGAGTGATATTGGCCAAATCGTGGCATGTAGAATATGGAAAAACAAATCCTAACATTATATACAACTATAATGCACCAGTAAAAATGTGGGAAAAGATTATCTGATTCCTTTAACTAAAGAGAGACCCACTAGAAACAACTGACTGTAATTCAAAAAGAAAAAAAAATGTGGTTTTATCATTCACTTGCTGTGTGACCTGGAGCAAGATACCTCACCTTGCTGAGCCTCAGTTTTCATCTATAAAATGGACATGATAGTACGGGCTTCACAAGGCAGGATCATGTAGTGACTTGATGAAAGAACTTTCCTCTGGAAAAGTGCTTTTCTTTGTCCTTTACTTGTCCGGTTTGGGTTCAAAATAATAAGAAAACTAACATTTATTGAGTACCTAATATGGACTTACAATTCTTTCTAGTTGTAGTCAGCCTTACTATGACCCCTTCAAAGTTACTGCTGCTATAATATTTCTCCTTTACAGGGGATAAAGCAGAGGATCAGAGAGGATAAGTCAGTTGCTGAAATCACACAGCTAAGAGACAAAGCCGGGATTTGAAATCAACGGTTTCACTCCGTAGCTTTCCCTTAATCATAACCATATGTCCCCCACTATGGTAGGAGAGATCAGCCACCCACATGGGAGGCCACACAAGGCCAGCGGCTAGGGTTGCTCTCTCCCAGAGGAAGTCATACAGTGTGCTGACTTTCCTGCTCCACATCCCAACTCTACTCCTGCTGTCTCTAGTCAACAGAGAGCTTGATGTCACTAGAGTCCAGGCCCTAGCACTTTTGGGAGACCTGGTAGGAATAAGGAAATGGCAGTTTGGCTTTAGAATCCAAAACCTGGCTCCTCCTGGTCATTCATGCCTCCTGTGGATTAAGGGGAAGTAGAGAAGCCAGGGACATGGGTCCTGTGGGAACTGGGAACAGGGGGATCCATGGGCACATACGTCCCACATGCCACAGAGCACAGGCTAAGATGTGCATGCACCCCTGCGGCCAGGTTCACAGTGAACACTTGAGGACATGTAGACAGATGTGTGGCTTCACCAGTACCTGCATCCCCCACTCACGCCCTGATACACTCACCTTCCCTGGATTAAATTAATTCCTGGACTTGGCCGGAACCCATTAAGCAGAGTAGTGCGTGGATCAAGTACACAGACCCTATCCTTGGCTGTTGTTTCTGGTTCTCCCACAGAACAGCTATGTCTCTGGGTAAGTTCTCTCACCTTTCTGTGCCTCAGTTTCCTTATCTACCAATGGGATCATAATACCCCCTTGCATTGTTGTTAAGAATTTTGGTGCTTGCTTCGGCAGCACTTATACTAAAATTGGAATGATACAGAGAAGATTAGCACGGCCCCTGCTCAAGGATGACATGCAAATTCGTGAAGTGTTCTATATTAAAAAAAAAAAAAAAAAGAATTTTGTGTAGATGTAGCACACAGTAAGCCACCTTTAAAGGACGCTGTGACTTTTGTCTAACAGGCCAGCTCTTCTGGGAAACAGACTCAAAGATAGAGTTTGGGGTGTAGAATTTTATTAAGAGATGCCTGTTTTAGTTAGATTTTTTCATTGCTGTGACCAAAAGACCTGATAAGGACAATTTTAGAGGAGGAAAAGTTGATTTGGGGCTCACAGTTTCACAAGTCTCAGTCTGTAGACAGCGAGCTCCATTGTTCTGGGCCTAAGGTGAAGTAGGACATCATGGCAGAAGAATGTGGTGGAGGAAAGTAGCTCAGGACATGGCCACCAAGAAGCCAAGAACGAGAGAAAATAGAAACCAACAAAATGTAAACCATAAAGGCACACCCTCAGTGACCCACCTCCTCCATCCACATCCTACTGCCCGCAGTTACCACCCAGTTAATCCCAGGGAATTAATGCACTGATCAGGTGAAGGTCTTCATAAGCCCATCATTTTACCTCTAAACTTTCTTGCATTGTCTCACATGTGAGGTTTTGGGGGACACCTCCTATCTTAAGCATAACAGTGCTCTTGGTGTTGACACTCGTGGAAAGAAAGGGAGGGAAGCAGGGTTGGGTAGAGGGGGGCTGTAATGCAGTGGAAGCATCAACTCAGCGGAAGCCTCAGCCAACCTCATGATTTGAAGCTGAGATGGTCTATCAGAGTTGTCCTGAGTAGGGATGAGAGGGCTTGGAATTTAAACCTGCCGACCAGTCTAAGGATACGAGTTATACTGAGAAGGGACTGTAACCTTGGTGAGATGACTCTCCTCAACCAGGGATCACAGGTGAGCAGTCAGCAACTGACACTTCCAGTGTCCCGGGAAATGCATGCCTGACCTAATAGGGAATGGGGGCTGGACCTCTCAGACCATATCTGGAGAGAGGTCCATTCTTTCCTTGTTGGACTCCAAAAGAGTCTCTGAAAACAGAGACTCAACGTTCCCAGAATTAGCCCTCAAAGTTAGTGCTTTGGTCTTGCTTCTGTAGTCCATGGCACTTTGTTCAAACCTCAGGATCCCACTGAGTACATCCTTGACTAATAATAAGTGATGCTAACATTAACAAGCATTTGTTCAATAGACATGAACCAGTTCTAAGTGCTTAACATGGATTAGCTCGTTTAATGATGACAACCACCCTAAGATTACAACCACCTTATATGTAGATATAATTATCTACATTTTATAGATGAGGAAACTAAGACACAGAAAGCCTAGGCAATTTACTACTGATCATGCAGCTTATATGTGCTGTGCCAGGTTTCTAACTCATGAAATCTGATTTCAGAACTTCCAGTCTTGCTGGGGTGCATACCTGTAATCCAGCGGCTTGAGAGGCTGAGGCAGGAAGATCGCAAGTTCAAAGCCCCTCAGCAACTTAGAGTGGCCCTAAGAAACTCAGGGAGATCCTGTCTCCAAACAAAATATTTAAAAAGACCTGAGGATATTGCTCATTGGATAAGCACACCTGGGTTTAATCCCTGGTACCAAAAAAAGAACTCACTCATAGTACAACAGCCCATGCCTATAGTCCCAGCTACATGGGAGGCTGAGGCAGGAGGATCACTTGAGCCGAAGAGCTCAAGGCCAGTCTAAGCAACATAGTCAGACCCTGTCTCTAAAAGGAAAGAAAGAAGGATGAAATGAATGAATGAGAGAATTCAGTCTTAACCAGCAGACCTCTGTGTTGAGTAGTTAGTGTTAGCATGGATGGTGGATATCTATGAATCAATGAACCGACAGAGGATGAATGGATGGATGAAGTAGATGAACGAATGGATGGACAGACAGTTGGAGCCTCAGATGAATGAATACCTGGATGGATGGATGGATGGAAGGATAGATGGATGGATACTTAGTATCCTGGTCTTCCTGGAATTTTCCATCATAATAGTTTCTTCTCTATCCTTGACGTAAGAGCATCTGGGTCAACATCCATAGGGAGCATGACTCAGCCCCTTGTGAAGAAGACAGATCTAGATCTTCACTTCCTGGGGCTCTGACTTTCAGCCAAGAAATGATGGGACAGTGTAGAACTGAGGGAGACCTCAGAGGCAGTGGCAGAATCCCAGTCTTTCAGCTCTGTGGCCTGGGGTAGAGTGGTGAGCCTTCCTCTCCCCACTGCAGAAGGCTTATGCATATATAATGCACAATTCTTTGCAGTAGGAACTGTGCCAAGGCAGTTAGTCCTCTTTCACTTGTGGGAATCAATCCATTCCCAATTTAGTTCATCCAGGTACCATCTTCTTCTCTCCTGTTTATTTTTGCAATTCTGTTCCTAAGTACTCTCCTTCTCAGGCATTTTCCTCTGCTCCTCTTAGTGCTCCATTCTCCCAACAATGGAACAGCCATGGCTGAACACGTGCTGGGGCTGCCAGATTTCCTCCCTGTCTGGGCTTGTGATCCCTAACTACTATTTCCTTTTTTTTTTTTTTTTGGTGATGGACAGGCAGCGCCCAGCCCTGGAGGGGAGATGCAAAACTGGGGGTGTAGTTCTGAGAAGCTTTGAGTCTTGTTGGAACTCAAAAGCCCCATGGGAAGTTTTTTTTCTTTGTAGTTGTAGATGGACAGATGCCTTTATTTTTATTTATTTATTTTTATGTGGGGCTGAGGATCGAACCCAGTGCCTCATGCATGCTAGATGAGCTCTCTACCATTGAGCTACAGCCCCAGCCCCCATGGGAAGTTTTCTAAGGCAGTGTTTTGGAGTTCCTACAGCCTCAAGTCCTTAGATTGTCATCCTGAGACCACAGGATGGAGTATAGTGGGAAAAATCTAGTAATCTAAGCTGGGCTCTTTCCTTGACTTTTGGCATATCACAACCCTTTTTGGGATCCCACTTTTTCAACCTGAAAAAGGAGCATTTGAACTT